TGGAGAAAGTAGGAGGATAAAGACAAATATAGAAATTTCAATGAATAATTTTGTGGGAAGTTGGTGGAGAGAGTGGGGAAAGAAGAGAAATGGTCATGAGAAGATTTAAATTTTTTTTTCTTTTTGTTAAGAGGGAATTGTACATATTTTAGAGGTGGAAATGAAAATAATCATCAATAGTGAAGGGTAGTTCAGTGGAGACAGGTCTGAACTATAAACTCAGATATATTGAGTTTGAAACTGGAAAAGTCAATTGAAATTTTATCTCTCATGAATTCCCTAATTCAAATATGGATGACCTACTTTTAATCAGATCAAAGAGGGAATAAGTCAAGAAGATAATATATGTTATGCATGTATATCATTTATTTTATATTGTAGATAATCTAGTGTGTTGAATTCAGTTTATACACATAAAATCAGATCATCGAATCCTTGTATGATATGAGTAAAAATTCACAATCTTAATGAAATTAGACACACCATCGATAGGATTGTAGTGTAATCTTTTAGCATAGTATGTCTTAACTATAAGAGACTATCTAATGTCTCAAATTGTTGCATAGTCTGTCTTAACATGACCATTATTGAGTTTATTTTTTTTACTGATTAAATAATAAAATAAATACCTTATGATTATTATGTTTTCTTAAACTCTTAATCTTGAGATGTTTAATGGATACATACATATAATGATTGTTACTTTAATTCATCAAATAGTGATATTCATATTTAAGTTAACAAACTCGGTGAATTGATAGATGACATTATTTGCATGGTGAAATTTAATTATTAAAGAAAACCACGTCTTGATATTTAAATTAATTATTAGATGTTCTTGAGAAAACTTATAAGTTTTGTCCATGTCAAACACTGCAGATAAATTGAATTATTTGATATATCAAATAAGTTGAGTGGTAAAATCTTAAGGATAAAAAAAAATTAATTAAATATAATTGTCAATAATTTATTTAATTGACGGATATCTAGAATTTTAAACTTTGAGAGATTATTAAGTATATAATAATGAGGAACTCGAAATATAATTTTAAGATAAGACCTAAGAGATCATCAAAGCTACCTTCATACTAAGCTACGATCATGCTATTCTGTCGCAATGCCAGAAAATCTACACCTCATCCAATCCTCCTCCGATTCAAAAAAATACTTGTATTGAAATACCTGATCAAACTCCTCCCATGTCATTGCATCAATGTTTTTCATTCTTTTCACAAAGTCCCACCAATAATTTGTCTCTTCTTCAAGTAGATATGTCGCTAGGCCAACCCGTAGATTCTCTGCAACTCCCAAGCTATCGCACATCTTCTTCACCCTATGAATCTACCACTTATCCGCATCTAGGGGGTTGGAGCTTCCCTGAAAAATAGGTGGACATTATCTCAAGAATTTTCAGAGAACCACCATCCTTCGGTTCTTGTTTCCATTCACTGGCCCTTGCACCAATGGTTGTTCAACCGCATTGTGGTTAGAATTGTTCCCGTTCTAGTTTCGTACCAAAGAGGTAAGCTTCCTCAAGCACTGGTGAATACCGTTCGTGGCATCCTGAGGTGGTGGTGAGGGATTAGTTGGGTATCCACGTCTCCTTTCCATTTTGCACAACAAAAAATGGTTTAGTTTCCTTTATTACTACATAGATCCCAACTCACACTTAACTCAAAAAAAAAAAAATCTATAATTTCCATAAGATTCAGGCCTAGAATTTTCTCAACCTAATCTAATATACCAATCTTGGAACATCCCAAAATCTATCCTGAAAAGCATTACTATATATACAACATTTAACTATGAGAGCATCTAATAAAACCATGAACTAAAAGAAATCTATTCATGATTCATAGCATCTAAACCATAATCCAAAAACCAATATGCCAAAACTTGACACTTATATCCAAAAATTTAAAAAAATATTTTTTTCAAAAACTAACGAACTACTGAATGTTTAGTCATCGTTCAAACCAAAATACTCAAAAGTCATCATCTATGGTAGTATATCTACACATTTGCCTCGGGATCTACATCCCCGTTAGTCTGAACTTTCCAATTTATTTGCTCATCCAACCCAAGCTCCTCCTCTAACCCGTACTGTGAAAAAGATATTTTAGGGGGGTGAGCACTAAATTCTATAGAAAAATCCTTCCAAGCTCGATTAAGGTTTTAAAAATATATAAAATAGGTCAGTCTCATTTTATAAAATATCACATATAACTTTAGAAATAAAATAATGACAGTTTATCAAACCTCAAGTTTACATAAATACAATAAAATAAATAAAAAAGTAAAACCAACTTTCAAATAATAAACCATTGCTAATACTGTATTTCAGGTATATAGTAAGACTAATATAAATACATACATTGAGAATATCCTAATGCCCCCCATATCCCTAATCTTCATAAGGATACACAATTTTAGAAAAGACATATACTGATGCACTGACAGTGATGAAAAAAGCCCCTAGCCTTGATTCATGTGATAGTGGTTTGGTCATTGTAAGACACTAACCTTACTGTGAGTAGTAGGGAACCTTCAAACCCATTCGGGATAAGAAACACATCTATCCACTTTATGTATGAAACTCGATCGACACTTATACAAGAAATATTATGTCAAACCAAATCACCAAATCACATGTAAACCAAGTACCACACTTTCATAAGTGTCTTTTCAATGGAGCAATTCAAAAAAATATGCAAGAGATCATCAAGAACATAATTTTTATGTTCAAAAATCAACATTGAGGTTTTTAAAGCTATCAAACAATAATCTGGTTCAACACATGATATAATTTGCCAAAAAATAAGAATTGATAATTACATATCATATACATACGATTTAGAATTAAAACATACATATATGTTAACTCTAATCTTAATGAACGAGTTTAGAAAGAAACCCCTATCTTAATTCCGGTAGAATTTGATCCTAACGCGTTTTGATATAATTTCCCTCGTGTTAATCCGTCAAAATATCTCCCTCTTTCTTCTCCCTAACTCCCTTTAGCTTTTAGGGTTGAAATAATGCTTAAAAATGCTAAAAATTGATCGGGCTAAACTCGAAGGTGCGTCCAAACGCACAATTCGTGTCCCGACGGTCCAAACTCTATGCCCATATGTTAATCCGTGCATTTGGACACAAATTTCCCATTCGGACGGGCATAATTAGGTTTGTTCGGACACATAATTCGTATCCCGACATGTGTTTCTCTGGACCAAAATTTTGGCTCAATTTTTACCTAGTTAGGATCTGGTTCACGAAATTTTCGTAAAATACACTTTTGTATTTCTTGAAGTCTAGTTTCTACTATCCAAAATTCATATCAATTGGGCATCGGAGTAAAAAATTCTGTTAAAAATACTAAGATAGTGTCAAATATCTTTGTATTCAAATTCCATACAAAATGTGTTTCAACTCTGGAATATATCCAAACTTCTAATACATCTCATATCTCCTATCGCAAAATTTCTCTACCTCTCAGATCCATTTTTAATGTTATTTTAATCTAAAAACCTTTGGAATTTTTTTTAGTCAATTCCTCTTATGAGTGATTATTCCAAAATATCAAGTCTCCCGAAGGTCTCCACGGTTCCTACATTCTCCATCTTACACTCATCTATTTATCTATAATTCATTTTGTATCAATGTAATACATGATATTCTAATATAATTTTGAATAAATACATGGGGGCTTACAAATTCCATGTTGATTTTTTTATGTAGTTGGCACATGAATTGTGAATTGAATTATGAATTGTTTTATGAATACTGAATTATGAATTGTAAATTATGAATTATGAATTGTAAATTGTGAATAAGCAATTTTATGCTTTATGTAACTAGTTGGGATTTTAGAGGGTGATACAAATTTGAATGTTTGATGAATGTTTTCGTTGGGATGATAAAAAGAAACAATGATTGCCTTTTTTATTGGAGTAATCCTATTTGGATCTAAAAATATGATCTAATTTATTGACATAATGATGTAGCTTCAGTGAAATCATTGGATCAACACCAAGTTTCAATGTTTGAAGGAGCCTACAGTCAATCTAAAGGTCATGGTAAATTAGGTCAGCAAATTAGGTCAATAAATTAAATTCCAATAACATTGCTCTCTTTATTGTTGTCCAAGATGGCGTGATGATGTTGATTGTTTCATTTGGGTTGATGAACACGATACATCCAGAGATGACCTAGAAATTGTGATTCCACAAGCCAATTTAGAAAGGAGAGAGAAGAAATAAACCACAATTTTTATACTTACTTATTATAGATGCAATTTCATCATGTGTTGTACATTACTATTCTTGATATTTGTACTACTTATTGGGATTTTAGTGAAGTGATTATGGTGTAGTATGATATTTGGTAGATTATTAACAATGTGTTGGTGTATTGATACTTTGAATGTTTAACAACTTATAATATTTTGGGTTGATGTATTGTGCAATATTTTATGAGTTGATGAATGCATTGATATAAATAATGTGGATGTATTTTAGTAGGAATTAATATAAAGGTAAAATATATGATAAAAAATAAAATAGTTACCAAACATATTTTCTATTTTAATTTTTAGAGTTCCTAAAACAATAATTGCATTCAAACATGATTGTCGACATGAATGGAGGGTTGCTTGAAGAAAACCCTATTCCAACCTATTCATATGTGGTGAACACATTGCTTTCTTGCTTTGAGTTGATATGTTTTGGCAACTATCAATAGGTTTTTAGTCTAATGGTACTCTTTACCTTATAAAAACTTTAATTTCTTGAGCTTAAGTGTTCAAATCCATTTCCCCCTCCCCCTCTCCTTAAAAAAAAAAAAAATTATGTTTTGGCAACTCAAATCAGATAGTTGTCTGTAATCCTAGCACCCGGGAGATTCTGGAACTGCAGGCTCCTCCCTATAAGGTTGAGGGTGATTATTGGCATGAAATTAGTTTTGGGTATCTTCCTTCTATGAACATACACAAAATCGTTGATATGATCGGAATGGTTTTAGGTCACAATGAAGGATATGATCCCATTATTATTAGTCAGGTGTACACATTATCAGATGGTGAGGGCAATTCTTCTTCTTGGAGAAGGCTACGAGATTACCCGTGTTCTGGCTACGTCTTTAGAAGCAGCAGATGTGCTAATGAAGTTGTGTACAACATGATGTATATAGGAGATAATACCCAAGGAATTCTCCAGTTTGATTTAGAGACAGAAACATTTGGAATCATAAATCAAGTCCCGTGGGATTCAAACACATTCGGTTGTCTAGAAACCTTGAACGGATATTTATGTTTATTTACGAATGATTCTGCTAATGATCAAAGTTCAACAATGAATTTGCGGATGTTGAAGGAACCCAACAATAATGCAGTTTTTGAGAAATATATCAGCATTGAGTTGTCGTCTCCAACGTATGGTGGTCTTAGTCCTTTGGTTGAGAGGGATGGAGAGATCATATTCGCTTGTGGTGCTGGATCATGCCTTGTCTGCTATGAAATTAAGGCCAAAAGCTTCAGAAGATTAAGCTGTAAACAAAGTTCAAGACTTCATTTTGATGGACTCTTTTCTCTTGGAACCAGATACTTATACAACGAGGTTTTAGAATCCAAAAAGAAAATGCCATATGGGTGTTTGTTTTTTTCAATATTTCATGATAGTCTTTCTATTCAACAGAGTATAGGATTAGAATTAAATTGTTAAGTGAGTTTTTAATGGATTTGCTCTAAAAATCTATAATTTCTTCATCTTTTTTTAATGCAACAGAGTGTATGTGTTTGCGCCGATTACTCTCTGGAACTCAGATACTATCAATGTAATTTGAGTGGGTTTAGAACATGTTTCATGAAGAACAAGGGTGATTGGCCTTAAAGGATTATATAAGAAGCATTGAACATGAAATCTTACCAATGCTGTGACATGTTGACTGATTTTTGGTGGTTTTCAAATTACTTGGTTACACTGACGAGAACGGTGTGTATGTGCCTATTGATTTGTACTCTGGCATTGGGTTGTTCGAGTTTTTAGGCTTAAGTTTTTTTAAGGATTAATAGTATTTTTGGTCCTTAAAATATATATTTTTTGTCAGTTTAATCCTCATTATATTAATTTTGTCAATTTTGTCCTTATATATAAGGACCATTAAATTTTAGACCGAATGATAAAGTATTGGACACGTGACACCATCTAAAAAAATAACACGTAGTCACTTCCGTAAAAAAACTTGACAGATTGTTTGATTAGGGACCAAAATGATACGATTGAATACTTAAACGACCAAATTGACAAATTTAATACAATAATGACTAAATTGACAAAAAATACATACTTTAAGGACCAAAAGTACTATTAACTCTTTTTTTTCGAAGCACAAAAAACGTCACAAATGAATATTTTTATTTCATATTTATTTTAGTTTCTAATTATTTATTTTTGCGACGATTTAGTACTATGTGCAACGAAAATTATTTGTCGTAAAAAATTAACATTTCCCTCCACTTCTTGAGCCAAAAATTTAAATTAACTCATTTAAGTTACTATTTTAAATGATTAAAATTTAAAAAAGTTACCGTGGTTCAAATGTTAAAATTTAAATGAATTACTCTGGTTAAAAGATTAAAATATTAAATTGTAATATAAACCGTCGTTTCTAAATGATCTAAGTTTCTAATTCAGAAAAGCACAAATAACAACTTAGATCATTTAGAACCAACAGTTTATATTACGATTTAATATTTTAATATTTTAATTACAATAATTCATTTAAATTTTAACATTTGAACTAAAGAAACTCTTTTAAATTTTAATCATTTAATATAGTAACTTAAATGAGTTAATTTTAATTACGGTTTATGTTACAGTTCTAAATGATCTAATTAATGTCTACAACAACAGTTTTCTGGTACTTTGAAACTCTTGCAAGGATTGATCATGGCTTGAAATCTGCTGGGCCCTTTGATTTTTCAATGCACCACGTCGCGAGGTCCACTTATTACAAGAAAAGAATCTGGTGATGTAGGCTACTTTCAAATTGTCACAAGGATTGATCATAGGCTTGAAAACTGTTGTGTCCTTTGATTCTTTAATTTGCTACGTCAAGAGGTGTATTTATTGCATTGCAGGAAAAAAATCTGGTGGTATAGACTACTTTTAATATGCCTCAAGGATTGATCATAGAGCATTGAAATCTCCTAAAATCCATTTTTGAAGCCTCCTCTAGCTGATGTTTGCTTTGTTATTTTTATGTTGCTAATTTTGGCTCGAAAACTTTTGGGTCCTTTTTCAATCTGCCACATCATGAGGTCCACTTAAAGTAAGAAAGGAATCTGGAGGTGTATACTACTTGTTATCTGCTTCAAGGATTGATCATGAGGTCCTTTAATTCTTCAATCCTTCAAATCATGAGGTTCACTTACTACAAAAAAAGGAATCTGGAGGTATAAACTACTTGCTATCTACTTCAAGATGGAGTTCCACTTACTGCAAGAAGGGAATCTCGAGGTGCAGGCTATTTACTATCTGCCTCAAGGTGGAGGTCCACTTACTGCAAGAAATGAATTTGGAGGTGTAGGTTACCTTCTATTTGCCTCAAGGATTGATCATGGGGCTCAAAAAAATAGCTTGGTCATTTGATTCTTCAATCCACCATGTCACAAGGTCCACTTGCTGCAAGAAAGGAATTTGATGGTGTAGGCTACTTTCAAGCTGCTGCAAGGATTGGTTATGAGCTTTAAAATTGTTGGGTCTAGCAATTCTTCATTCCACACTGTCTTGAGGAGATTTCCACTAACTTCAAAAGTATGACGTTCGATGCTTCATGATGCTTTCAAAATTGCTAAGAGACCAAGGGCTTTGGGAACTGAAATCCACATCTTCTCAAAATACGCTTGATCATTGGAATTTGCAATCCACCTTTTCTCAAGATACACTTGATCTTTAAATTTGTAATCCACCCTTCTCGAGGTACGCTTGATTATTTTTTGTTCTAAAATCTTCAAAGCATTCATTGATCTAACTTTTGAAAAAGAATTCATCTAAAAATACAAGAAATTAAACAAAAAGAAAAAACATAATCAATCTTGATAATATTATCATTTTTCTTCTATTAATTTATGAGGAAATTTTAAAAATTTAAAGGTTAAATAAAAAAAAAAAAAATTACATGAGGTCAAAATTGTAGAGGAAAAAGTTAACTAAAACAAGATTTTAGGACAAAGACATCGTAATTAAGATTCTCATAATAAATTTATCTCGATTAAAATCTCAAGTAAATTAAACCAAACAAATTGTAATCAAGAACCTATTTTGATAAAAAAAAAATTGCCTAAAAAAAGAAAAGATAACAAGAATATTTATTGAATAAAATAAAAGTTGTTTACAATTTTTAATTTTTTTTTTTAAAAAGAGATGGACAAATATACCAGTATACAAGACATACCTTTGAATAGGTTAAATTGAATTGGCATATTTGAGAAAAAAAAAAAAGAATGTGTGCGTGCAAGGTCTTGTACAATATAAACATTAGAACAGATCTCTTCCGTGGTGAACACGTATCCGTCAATCGGTTGGTCGATCTTACTACTTGAACAGGTTGTGAGGGTCGAAGGTGGCCCAAGGTGGATAATGAATCATTTTTATGAGTCGCCTGAGTGATCCAGGAAGGCTAAAGCTGGTTCTTAGAACAAAGAAAAACAAGTTAGAAGGGCGCCGAAGTGTTTTTCAGCGTATCCTCTCCGACGATCAAGTCAATTCTTTGAGAGAAGGGAAAAAGAAAACACTGTATGATGGTTGAGAGAGTGTTTGTTTCGTACCTCTTTTTTGTGTTTGTGAGGACTATTTATACCTTAAAAATTCATCATTGCTGTCAGCGTAGCTAGTAGGTAATCATTGGAGGTGGGAAGTGTGCACACCAATTTCTATGAGTGATGTTCTTATTCTTTACTACTCGGGACCCCGAGCAACTAATACTTTCTCCTCGGTCTACCGAACATTTAATGATCTTCCCTCGGTGGGGTTGTATTAAATGTCCTGGCTTTGAGACATTTATTACCTTTTACTTTCAAGCTCTCATGCATTAAATGCTGTCTCATCAAGGGAAGAGTGCATTAAATACTTTCTTTCCCAAGTCGTGTGTCAGCAAGGGCATTTTGGTCTTTTTGTCACTGATCTGACACAATATGCCACGTGTCCATTTCCCTTTGGTTGAGCCTTCTACTTTCTTGTGCCTCTTGACACCATTTGAGTGGAACGATGTCATGATAACTAGTCTAGCATAACCTAAGCTAGTAACCCCGTCAATCAGTAGCCCCTGCAGGAGCATAAATGCTTCATAGACATATATATCTCGGTGTCGAGGGTCTAGCGTTGCTAGGGGGCGATGTACCCAAACTGACCGAGGGATGCGTGTCGATCTATGCCTTACTGGGGATCCTTGATCCCTGTGAATAGTCCTTCGGGGGAAGGGGAAATTATGGACCGACGCGCACGTGTCGTGATCTGATCGGCGAGTATACATTGACGCCGAGGACACGTGTCATCGTCTTGCAGTGTCTGAAAATGTTCCATCAACTGCCCCTCAGCCTTCGATCTTCTGACACCGAGGACACACGTTGTAAGAAGACGAAGGGTTCTGCAACTGCCCCAATCACTCAACCATTGCTTCCAGCCATTTTTCACCGCTTAAGAGGTTGTGCGCATTAAATGCGCCTCTTCGTGCTTCATGACTAATGATGGGGAAGGGTACTATATAAACGGGCTCTCTCTGTGTTTCCCACACTTTTACCATTTCGAACTCAAAGAGTTTTCACCTGAAAACTTCGCCGGAGACCCCCTTTGTCACGTTATCTACCAGTTAGTCATCATCGGAGTTTAGACCAGTAAACACCTTTTTACTTTTGAACCTTATGGAGAGAGGAACCACTCCAAGCCCTTCAGAAACCTTTGTTCGCATTCTGGTGAGTCCTTATACCTTCCTTCTTTCCGTCTTTCCATTTTTTTGGGTTTTTTTTTATTCCCTGGTAACCGGAGGTGTTTCTGGTTGTCATTGTGTGACCAACCCTCAGGAAACCCCTTGGGGATCTTCGTAGAAAAACTTTTTCCTTCCTTTTTAATTTTTATCTTCTTTGGAGATGCCTCGACGTCACCCTGTCACCGAGGATCCCAGGCCAGTTCCTCGAGGCTAGGGAAGTACAAAGTGAAGGGAGACGAGCAGATCAATAGGTTTATGGCCCGATACCGTATCCCCCCAAACGTAGGTATAGAAGAGTATGACCCAGTTTTGCATAACCGTACTCTTGGAGCTGAGGATGAGATGCCCTTTTTCACCAAGACAATCATAAAGGGTGGAATTAGGTTCCCCTTGCCTCCTCTATTCCTCTAGTTCCTCGTCCATTTCAACCTCTTCCCAGGACAGTGTTGTCTTAACGTCTTTAGGATAATAATGGAGGTCTTAGAGCTTAACAACCGTCTCGGGATAAACGTTGGGCTCAACGATATCTTTTTTTGCTACTCCTTGTTGAGGGTCATGCCTCAACAGAATTTCTACCTCAAAGCCAGAGATCCATCCATGTACCTTGTAACTCACCTCCCTGACTCGGACAAAGGATACAAGGATGACCTTCTGATCTTCAGTGGATCCTGGTAGCGGGGGACCGATCCCAAGTACAATGGTCTAATGTGCCCTTTTGAATGGAGAACGACAAGTATGTCGACTTTTCCAAGTCTACTATATTTGTCCTTGGAATTTTTTAGAAGTGTTAACCTTCTTTCTTGTGCAGACGTCTCCGCCCGGGAAGTCGCTCCTCCCCCTCGGTCCTTGGTGAACTTTGTTGACCTCGTCACTGTTTGGAGATTTGTTGGCGATGACGGGTTCGGCCGGGCCGCTCATATTCTTCTGAACTACTCAGCAGGGTATAAAAAGTTCTCACAGCTCCCCCAGCCCTTTGACCCTTTGCGGTGGTCTGAACTCTTTGATCAGACTGCGTAACAAGAGGCCGAGCAGAACTTGGAGGAAGATCCCGACAGGGCTACTGAGGAAGAAGTAAAGAGTGCACTTGAAGTTGAGAAATCCGGGGCCAGAGAGGTTTTGGTTCATTCGCACGTCGAGGTAGGGATTTCGGGGAGAGATTCATGGCCTAACTTCCACATCCTTCAGTCCCTAGACGCAAAGGAAGCCTTTGAGGTAGCCATGTCACACACGCCCCGCATAGATCTGGGATTCCTGAGACAGAGTTAGGCCTTTGAAGCCGGAAGAGGACGGGGGTCAACCAGTAGCGCCCCATCAACAGGTACCAGCGCCAACCCCCCACCTCCGAGGGCCGCTGGTCAGGGTCAAGTGCACGATCGAGATCCTTAACTCGAGGAGGAGAGGAGGACCAAGCAAAGGCACGACAGCCCAGGCAAGGGATCCAGGGCCCCCTCCGCTCAACAGCCAAGCGGGAGGGGCCGTGGGTTACACCATCCACCTCAACAGCAACAGCAGCAGCGGCAACAACAGCAGAGATAGACTCCACCTCCCCCTCTGCAGATGGTGAAAGTTGCAGAGTGGAATCCTCGGGCTACTGATCATATGAATCGGGTGATCAGGGTCAATGATTCCATTCTATAGGACCCCTATGTTGCCAACGCAATGAGCAAGATGCTCCATTTCGAGGCCGACATGGAGGCTCATAGAGGGCGGACGACGAACACATTGTTCCGTTCTATCATTCAGAATTCTCTAGTGGTAAGTTCATCTTTGTTTCAGCCTTTTCTTGCCGCATCACCTATAATTGACCAAGTTCTTTCCCTCGCAGGCCACCTAACAAATTTTCGTAATCGCTGCGCGATATCATGCAGTCAGGATGGACCTCTAATGGACCCAGGAGTAGAAGGAAGAGGCTGAAGGAGCCCTGACCAGTGCTAAGGAAGACGTGGCTGCCAGGGACTCCACCCTCGCGGGGCAGGCTGCTTAGATTGAGCAACTCCTTAAGGGAAGCGAATTGGCGAGGGTCGGCGCTGAAAAGCTAAGTGCTGCCGCGGCCGACGCTGAGAGAAGGATCACATAGCAGACGCAACGGCTCTCTACGGCCGAGGATAGGGCTGTTGGGTCAAAGGAGAGCTGCCTGACTTTGACCCAGGAGTTGGACAGGGTCAGGGCGGAAGTGGAGAATAGGAAGACTGAAGAGCAAATTCGAGAGGAGTTTGCCTATGACATACTGCCCGCCCTCGAGGAGAACAATAAATAGTTCTTCAAAAAGGGGTGGGATGAGGCGCTCTGAGCTGCCGACGTCCTTCAAGACTCCCCACTCTTCCAGATGCACAACTACGTGTCATCGGCGAAGATGGAGCAGGCCGAGGCCGAGGTTGCTGCTGAGGGTGCGGCCCTAATGCCGATGCAAGTTTTGGGAGACCCACCTGAGGTGGTAATTGTCATCCCATCCGATGAGGCCCTGCCGGAGTCAGCCTCCTTCTACCCCCGATTCCAACATTTCTCAGACCTTGCCTCCTGCTGATTCTGCCCCAGCTCTGCCTGCTCCCGAAGCTACTCACCCCTTCTGCATTGATTCTCCTTGCAGTGACGTGTTGGAGATGCCCGGGGCCAGATGAAACTTCTTTTTTTCTTTTTCGAACTGTAATTTTTTTTTAGTTTGAAC